CATTGCATCCTCTACAAATTCCCTAGGTAGTTTTGATGGTCACTAGGGTTTGAGTGTCTTTCTGGTGCAGGGCTTTAAGGCCAAAGTACAGTTCTCATATGTGGATATTTGCCCCATTCCTAGAGGGTTGACTGTCCCTTATCTTATTTTAGATTTAAGGATTGAATTCTTAGAGAGGTTGCTTCTGAATCATTAGACTGGAATTTCCTTTCTTTGATTTGAATAAAATTCCTTTCATCATAGACAAGAAATCGCTTTGAAGGCACCAGGTCAGAAGTGGAATCACTGATGAAGAAGATGAAGGAGAATCCCCTTGAGCACAAGACCGTCAGTCCCTACACCATGGAAGGATACCTCTATGTCCAGGAAAAACGTGAGTGCTCTGACTCCCAGCAGCTTGGGGTGCACTCAGGCCCTTTGCCCAGAAGATGGAGCAGGTATCCAGTAGTGCCTGGCCTATTGTAAATACGTGTTTGGACGAATGAGTAATTTTGTCCTTTAGTTTCCAAAGGGATAGATGATGTCCATAGAGTCTGTCTTCCAGGTGATGTGTTCTGTTTTCTTTGTGATGAGGAATTCCCTTGGGAACCTGGAATTCCTTGAATCTCTGTGGTTGCTCTTCATTTTCCTAGTGTCATTCTACTCCTGAGAATCCTACACCCTTAGTACAGTGGCCTTGGAGAGGTCTTGCATGCTAGACTTTATTATAAGTCTATCAGTAATCATATCCTTTGGTAGACTTAATATTTGCTGATTCTGTTTTTCTCTGAGACTTGTTTCAGCAAGACCCAAACAATCATGACTTAGGCCCTTTCCCTCTTCTCCTCAACTCCTTTCATCCCAACATTTGAATTTTCTGAAAAGTAGAAAACAAAAGCTCACTTTGAGAGCCAGGAAGGAGACCCATTGCCCTGCCAATGATGTCAAGAAAAGAGATGCAAGGTGCTGCTAACATGGAGTTTTGGGTGATGACTCACAGATCCATGCTTTAGGCCTGGGGAAGGGCTTTGATCATGATGGGGCTGTGCTATTTAGGGTAGCACTTCCAGACTTACTTTGTGCATGCAGTGCTAGGAATGAAAGTGAATTTTTTTCTTTAATGGGTAGTTCTCTTAGGCTCCCACCCTGCTTTCTTGGTAGGGCACATTGCTCCTCCTAGATTTTTGCTGGTTTTGTGTTCTTTCATGTTTTTCTCTTGATTGAAAGTTAGGCAAATGTCTTCACTCTTAACAGCTTCCCAATGGAATAGAATAGAAACTCTTGGTTTCAGTGATTATTTAGTGATTAT